CTCTCTCTCTCTCTCTCTCTCTCTCTCTCTCTCTCTCTCTCTCTCTCTCTCTCTCTCTCTCTCTCTCTCTCCCCCAATTACAGACATAACTCTTATCTCATCTACATAGTCGTGCACACACAAGGTGAGCATGTACTGACGCGAAATACATGCACACACACATGCACGTACACACTCACACTATGCTATGACTAGGAAAATTACACTAACTGAAGATGAATCCTTCAAAACAATAACTACTAACGTCTGAGCTACACAAGAAAATGAGGAAATTTGGAGAGGTACTGGGAAGCAAACTGAGAGAGCGAAGCACTCACTGACAGCGTAAGTAGTTCCTCAGCCGTCGCCATACACGACAGCATGTAGCACCATCCACATTCCGCTTGAAGGAGCTTTCTATACCATTACTGCCAGCAATGGGCGTTCTCATCCTTCTGATGCTCAATATAAGCCATCTTCCCTTGCCCGTCCAACGCGTGTCCCAGATTATGATCTGTCTCGTCCTCTCTGCCTGTCTGTCTGCTATACACCATCCCCCTCAGTACAATCAGGGGTGAACTAAATACAAACAGCCCCCATTGGATATTCTTTAAGTTTCCAGCGAAGCCATGTTCTGTGTTGTGCGGCAGATGCTCCTGGCACGCAACCTGTTCTTGGTTGTGCACAGCAGTAGCTCGCCAGTTTCTCATGTTGAGCTGCACATCCATGTCGCAACCGTCTATCCAAGCAACTCACAGAAGCAGCAAGCCATCCTCTACTGTTGAGCTGCAGATTCATCTCGCAAACCGTCTATCCCCCCTTCTCCCAGAGGAGGAGGAGCCCGAAGCTTGTTCTCCGTGCACACAAGCAGCTACCCAACGAGATCGGCAGCACAAACCCTCAACTCAAGAAGCAGCAAGCCCTCTTCTCCTGTTGAGCTGCAGTTTCACATCACAACCACCTCTACTAGCGTGCAGCTCGTCCTCCTTGCAGCTACCCAATGAGCCCCAATACAGACTGTCCTCTCACAGAAGCAGGTAGCCACCTTCTCCTGTTGAGCTGCAGATTCATGTCGCAACTACGTAAGGAGCTAGCCAATGAGATCGCCGATACAAACCGTCCTCTCACAGATGCAGCTAGCCACCTCCTCCTGTTGAGCTGGAGATTCACATCACAACCGCCTCTTCTAGCGCTTAGCGCGTTCTCTGTGCAGACAAGAAGCTAGCCAATGAGATTGCCAACACAAACCCGTCCTCTCGCAGACGCAAGTGGCTATCTTCTCCTGTTGAGCTCCAGATCCGTGTCGCAACCGCCACTGCTAGCTCTCAGCTCGTCCTCCGTGCAGACAAGCAGCTAGCCAATAAGATCGCCTATACAAACCACCCTCTCACGGAAGAAGCTAGCCATCTTCACCTGTTGAGCTGCAGATTCATGTCGCAACCGCCTCTGAGCTGCAGATTCATGTCACAACCGCCTCTACTAGCGCTCAGCTCGTTCGCCGTGCAGACAACCAGCTAGCCAATGACATCGCCAAAATAAACCATCCTCTCACGAAAGCAGCTAACCATCGTCTCCTGTTGAGCTGCACATTGAGCTCGCAACGACCTGCACTGGCACACAACTCGTTCTCCATGCAGACGATTGAGACAACCAGATAGATTGCCAATACAAGCCATCCTCTGGCAGACTTGTCCACCATTCCACCAACTTTCTCTCATGTTGCTCAGCTGGGCATTCTGCTGCAATCTCCGCAAGTGAAAGTGCGGAGCTAAGGGCATACTCACACCAGGACTTTTCAAGTCAGACACGTCCGAAGCTGTCCATATTTGCAGTCAGGTACATGCAGGGAAGTCCTAGCATGACAGTGAGGATGCTCCTAAGCTGGCCGAACTGACATGCCTGTTGCAAGCAACACAGCATCCTCCAGGGACACGTCCGAAGCTGTCCACATTTGCGGTCAGGTACATGCAGGGAAGTCCTAGCATGACAGTGAGGATGCTCGTAAACTGGCCGAACTGGCATGCCTGTTGCAAGCAAAACAGCATCCTCCAGGTTTAAAAGGAACACAAAGTGTCGACGGACAATTGCCGCACCTGCAGTCCAGGCATCTACACCCTTGGCCATTCTGTATTGTAATCCAGGAATGCAAGGTGCAAACCGGGAACTGAACGAAGCGACACGCACACCGCGAACAACACAATGTAGCCTCCTGGTTTGAAGTGAACATAGGCACTTGAAAGACCTGCCGCGTTGATGCCGTGAACATTTGCTGAGGAAGCATCACATGATATCTATCGGACGTCACAAACAGATGAATGCTCAACGCGGCAAAAGAAAAATCTTTCACCCACTTGGCCAGCATGAGTTTTAACTGCTTTTCGTTTCCCAACATGCCTCTTTGCTTAACAACATCCTCTCAACCTGGCCACTCCCCTCGATCACATTGGCGCCTCGACGTCCGCTCAATCACACATTAGCGCCTCGACAAATCCCTCCCTGCTCATCTCATGTATATACTGAGAGGCTATCTTCTTCTTCACTGCAGCTATTGCCCCACCCAAACCCGTGCTGAGCATCGAAACGGATCCAGCTCTCTTTTGATGATGAGAATTTGAATGCAGGAATACACACACACACACACAGAGAGAGAGAGAGAGAGAGAGAGAGAGAGAGAGAGAGAGAGAGAGAGAGAGAGAGAGAGAGAGAGAGAGAGAGAGAGAGAGAGAGAGAGAGAGAGAGAGAGCACAGGAACATAAGTAACGGAGAGATCGGAAAGAAGGAGGCCGGAACCATCGGTTGACAGATGGATCTCTACCGCCAACTGCTTTTCCTGGTCCAGATCCTCTGCACAATCTCAATCCTAGAAGATGATCTGTATATCTGTAAAAAAAAAGATGTCTACCCAATAAAACCATAAAGGCTGCTGCAATCCATATGCCAAAGTCGATAAGAAAAGAAGCGCACTTTATTCTTTACATGTCGAGTCAAATAGAATGAATCCCTCAAAATTTGTTTGGCCCAATTCCTTGGGGCTGGCAATGACAGGTTATGCCCTAGTCTTGCCTCTACAGCAACCAACTCTCATCTCTACGCATGCAGCCTCCACCCTGTGGCTGACAGAATAAGCCGCCGCGCCCCTTCCTTGTACCCCGTCAAAATTCACTTCTCATCAAAGAGGCCGGTTATGCCCTAACCTTGCCTCTACAGCAACCAACTCTCATCTCTACTCATGCAGCCTCCACCCTGTGGCTGACATAATAAGCCACCCCGTCCACCCCTCCTTGTACCCCGTCGAAATCCACTTCCCATCGAAGAGGCCACATCCACAGCCCAACTATCCTCCTTTTTGCAAGTGCTTTCGTTCCGACTGTTCGTGGGACGCCCTGCTGGCGTCATAACTCACATCCCAACCCTCAGACTCAGTTTCGAACCTCAGGACCTTAACTGCCGCCGCCAAACAGTCACCCTCATCCACATACTGTACAGTCACTCCGAACAAGATACACCAAACTTCTGTGTGCCCTCCGAACAAGGCTCTGTAACGGTCTTTTCTTTCTCCGTAACAGCAAGCAGACACACCTTTACATTCGGGCCAGGGTGCAGCCATGCTGTGGTTGTGTCCTTCCGGTGAAGCACCCTGCGAAGAAGCACCGCCCGAGGACAGAGAGCTTTTGCACTCAGAACCGTACCCCACTGCAGTATGGACAATTGGGTGAAGAGATTAGCAAGAGCAGTGATACCATGGACCCACTTCAACAGACCGTAGTCGTTACTGTGGCTGCCATCTGTATGCTGTGTTAATCAGGCTTGCTAGGGTCTGAACCACCAGTGACTCTTTACCCCCCCAATCGCAAAGTCATCATCTGCCAAAACCCCCCTCACGGCATTTCACAGCTCCGTCATAAACCGCCTGTCTGTGGCAGTCGTGCGTGCATTATCAGCCCCTTCCTTAGACGTTCCTTTCGTGCGTGCATGCTGACTTATCAGTGCTTCCTTTCGGCACAAAGGCCTTGCAAGGCTCGTCAGGAGCTGGAGAGTTGAATCTGAGATCCTCCCCACAATGGACGGCTGGCACACATCGGCCAACGAGTGGATGCAAAGTGCAATACGCCTTCTCTCTCAGAGTCTGCAGCTAAAACACGGATTCCAACCGCGCCCGGTGCCGGCAATCATCATTAAGTTACAAACATCTGAAATGAACCGCAGTGCCGACAAGAGAGGGCATAGCCCATTGTAGCACTAATCGTGGAAAATCACGCAAAGCCGAAGCACGGACTTCTTGGTTTGCTGGGGCAGCCCAAATAAATTTCCATAGACTTACTGGGGTCTTGTGCGTCATGTATGAGCCTCCCAGAACTTAGTGGGGTCTTCAGCATAGAGAGTTCGGTCTTGTATCTCAAGATTTGCCACATGCCGATCAATCACGCGGGACTGGAGAAACTTGCAAAAGAGCAGAAGCGATGGAAACAACCACCACATTTCTTCATCCGGTTCTCTGCACCACAAAACACATCACATCAGATCACCAATTATGACCATGACGGAAGCCTCACACCCCACTAACACTCCCTCATCATCCTCATCCAAAAAAATGCTCATAACTAGCATCCGCATTTTCAAACAAACAAAAAAAAAGATCTTTAAAATCTAGCTTTCCAACCCGGGCGCCCGGGGCACCTGGGCCCCTCTCTTGCCGAGGCTGAAAAAGCCTGAAAAAAAAGATCACGCCGCCGCCAGATGCCCTACCACCGAAAAAAAAATTAGAAGACCGGCGCAATGTTTTTTGGGGTCCGGTAGGCCCGGTTTTGCAGTTTTTTTTCTTCCGAATCTGGCCGTCGATCTGTGCCGATCTATGGCGCGCACAGATTCAGGAGTCAAATTTGAATCCATGCTGACTCCAGCACCCCACCCGACTCCACGCCAATACCCCTCCGACCGCTGCCCACAACGGCCCTCCGCGCGCTCGACATCCCTGTAGCCGCGTGAGTCGCCTGCTCCTTCCTCGCGCACTATTGTCGATGCCCCTGAGCGCCAACTATTGCCGCCCCCTCTTCACGAAGGTTTCCCCCCATGCTATCCCAAATACAGTTCGTCAACTTCAAGGTAAGTTATTTTCTTGTTCTTGTTCTTCTTCTTCTTCTTCTTCTTCTTCTTCTTCGTCGTCGTCGTCGTCGTCGTCTTTTTCTCCTTTCTTCTTTCTCTTCTTCTTCTTCTTCTTTAGAGTTCATGTCTCATTTTCTTCGATGTCGCGTCCTCGCTCCCACCCACCATAGTCCTCCCTCCTGCCAGATCGCCTCCCGCCTCCCTCCTGCCATAGTCCTCCCTCCCGCCATAATCCTCCATCCTCCCTCCCGCCAGATCACCTTCCTCCATATCTCCTCTCCTCCCTCCTCCCTTCCTCTTCAGAAAAAAGTTAAGGAAAAGCTCCACCTGATTCACCGACATTGTTTCCCTCCTNCCTTCCTCCATATCTCCTCTCCTCCCTCCTCCCTTCCTCTTCAGAAAAAAGTTAAGGAAAAGCTCCACCTGATTCACCGACATTGTTTCCCTCCTCCCTCCTGCCATAATCCTCCATCCTCCCTCCCGCCAGATCGCCTTCCTCCATATCTCCTCTCCTCCCTCCTCCCTTCCTCTTCAGAAAAAAGTTAAGG